AGATAGAGATAGACTGCTTAGTTAAGTCGATACTAAAACAGCATTCATCAAAAGTATAGCCACATTAGAATATATGGAAGTTAGGGTCAGTGCCTATTAATTTCCGGTGCAATAGGGATTTGAAGGGCTATTTAACTGAGCAGGAAAAAAACTATTTTCACAGTACTGTCATGGTTATTTAATTTGACCACAGGATAAAAGTATACACAATTTAATTGAACCTGTAGATAAAAGATGAAGCTATAGTACTACCAAATCTGGTCCCATGGGCCGGGGCATCACTATGGAAATGGTGCCCATGCTTACCGGCGATGGTGTAGTCTGCGGTGATGCGCATGGCAGGCGTGTACGTGACAGCAGGCATGGTGGGCTCCTTGCCCTTCTGCTTCTTTCTGTAGACGATGAAGAGGAAGAGGAGGAAGAGCACCAGCAACACCAGGATGATGATACCCGCAATGGTGCTGATCTGGTAGGAGTCCACAGGCACGGCAGCGCTGGTCAGGCTGTTGGGGTTGCCCGCGATCACCACACCGGCTATGTAGGGGAAGAAGGAGAGAGTGGTTAGGACTACAATGAGGGAAAAAAGTAATTGATCCCCTGCTGATTTTGTACATTTGCCCACTGACAAAGAAATGATCAGTCTATAATTTTAATGGTAGGTTTATTTGAACAGTGAGAGACAGAATAACAACAAAAAAATCCAGAAAAAAGCATGTCAAAAATGTAATAAATTGATTTGCATTTTAATGAGAGAAATAAGTATTTCACCCCTCTGCAAAACATGACTTAGTACTTAGTGGCAAAACCCTTGTTGACAATCACAGACGTCAGACGTTTCTTGTAGTTGGCCACCAGGTTTTCACACATCTCAGGAGGGATTTTGTTCCACTCCTTTTTGCAGATCTTCTCCAAGTCATTAAGGTTTCGAGGCTGACGTTTGGCAACTCGAACCTTCAGCTCCCTCCACAGAATTTCTATGGGATTAAGGTCTGGAGACTGGCTAGGCCACTCCAGGACCTTAATGTGCTTCTTCTTGAGCCACTCCTTTGTTGCCTTGGCTGTGTGTTTTGGGTCATTGTCATGCTTGAATACCCATCCACGACCCATTTTCAATGCCCTGGCTGAGGGAAGGAGGTTCTCACCCAAGATTTAACGGTACATGGCCCTGTCCATTGTCCCTTTGATGCGGTGAAGTTGTCCTGTCCCCTTAGCAGAAAAACACCCCCAAAGCATAATGTTTCCACCTCCATGTTTGACGGTGTGGATGGTGTTCTTGGGGTCATAGGCAGCATTCCTCCTCCTCCAAACACAGCGAGTTGAGTTGAGGCCAAAGAGCTCGATTTTGGTCTCATCTGACCACAACACTTTCACCCAGTTCTCCTCTGAATCATTCAGATGTTCATTGGCAAACTTCAGACGGCCCTATATATGTGCTTTCTTCAACAGGGGGACCTTGCGGGCGCTGCAGGATTTCAGTCCTTCACGGTGTAGTGTGTTACCAATTGTTTTCTTGGTGACTATGGTCCCAGCTGCCTTGAGATCATTGGGCTCCCGAGAGGCGCAGCGGTCTAAGGCACTGCATCTCCGTGCTTGAGGCATCACTACAGACCCCCTGGTTCGATTCCAGACTGTATCACAACCGGCCGTGATTGGGAGTCCCATAGGGCGGCGCACAATTGGCCCAGCGTCATCCGGGTTTGGCCAGTGTAAGCCGTCATTGTAAATAAGAATTTGTTCTTAACTGACTTGCCTAGTTAAATAAAGGGGAAATAAAAAATATAAAAAATTGGCAAGATCCTCCCGTGTAGTTCTGGGCTGATTCCTCACCGTTCTCATGATCATTGCAACTCCATGAGGTGAGATCTTGCATGGAGCCCCAGGCCGAGGGAGATTGACAGTTATTTTGTGTTTCTTCCATTTGCGAATAATCACACCAACTGTTGTCACCTTCTCACCAAGCTGCCTGGCGATGGTCTTGTAGCCCATTCCAGCCTTGTGTAGGTCTACAATCTTGTCCCTGACATCCTTGGAGAGCTCTTTGGTCTTGGCCATGGTGGAGAGTTTGGAATCTGATTGATTGATTGCTTCTGTGGACAGGTGTCTTTTATATAGGTAACAAGCTGAGATTAGGAGCACTCCCTTTAAGAGTGTGCTCCTAATCTCAGCTCGTTACCTGTATAAAAGACACCTGGGAGCCAGAAATCTTTCTGATTGAGAGGGGGTCAAATACTTATTTCCTGCATTAAAATGCAAATAAATTCATAACATTTTTGACATGCGTTTTTCTGGATTTTTTTGTTTGTTATTCTGTCTCACTGTTCAAATAAACCTAACATTCAAATTATAGACTGTTCATTTATTTGTCAGTGGGCAAACGTACAAAATCAGCAGGGGATCAAATACTTGTTTCCCTCTCTGTAGGTCATTTTCTATTACACTCAACTTTATTCGTCCTCTCAGAAGGTATTGTTAGGGTACAATACCATAATGCTACTTATCCTACTCTTACAGATTTGTAAGGGGACACTAGCAAGGGCCTAGTGGTAGGGGCTATGGATCAGTTTGTTAAGGGACAGTATATTGATATTATACTTGGAGCAGCAGTAACGTGTCCGGCTCTGATCCCAAAGGTGCCAGGTTTGAATCACGCCTCGGAACCTTTCACCGCTCACCCAAAACGCCGCACTGGTGTCGAAAGGGGGATTCGAACCAGTCTTAACAACAGCAGATGTATAACAATATGTAAAGATACTTGTTCTACCCCCCCCAAAAAAACAAAAAAAATTATAATAAGGATACTCATTCTCACCTTGGTCACACCTCACTCCCTTCCAGCCGGGGTTGCAGTAGCATGTGCCGGTCATATGATCACAGGTGGAGTTGTTGAGACAGTCGCACACCTGACGACAGCCATAACCATAGGAACCAGGGGGGCATTCTGAGAGCAGGCAAGAGGCACAGACACATTTTTATTTAACCTTTATTTTTATCAGGGAGTCATACTGAGACCAAGGTCTCTTTTACAGATGAGCCCTGAATTACATAAATTACACATCAAAATATATATACAAAATGCAAGCAGAAAGAAAAACATGGTCACAAAAAACAAACACATTCATCAGTAATATGGCCCTCAATCAGCTTCCTAAATTGCCCTAGGGGCACCAAAATATCAAATTTAAGAAGACTTTTAAAAATTGTCGCCCATAAAAAAGCGCAGTGCGCTATGATAAACTGCATCTAATGGCTTTAATGAAGTGGCAGCTGCATTCATATACATGTAGATGATGTCGCCATAGTCTAGGACCTAATAAACTGCTTTCTACTATTTAGCGAGAGGAAGGACTTATTTCTATAGAAGAAGCCCATTTTTAATCTCAGCTCAATTCATTGGAAATGATTTGGAAAGGCTGTCTATATAAGGGCCCAAAGTTGACCGTGCATTTCATGAGCAGAAACCAAGCCATGAGGTTGAAGAAATTGTCCGTAGAGCTCAGAGACAGGATTGTGTCGAGGCACAGATCTGGGGTAGGGTACCAAAAAATTCTGCAGCATTGAAGGTCCTAAAGAACACAGTGGCCTCCATCATTCTTAAATGGAAGAAGTTTGGAACCACCAAGACTCTTCCGAGAGCTGGCCGCTCAGCCAAACTAAGCAATTGGGGGAGAAGGGCCTTGGTCAGGCAGATGACCAAGAACCCGATGGTCACGCTGACAGAGCTCCAGAGTTCATCTGTGGAGATGGGAAAACATTCCAGAAGGACAACCATCTCTGCAGCACTCCACCAATCAGGCCTTTATGGTAGAGTGGCCAGACGGAAGCCACTCCTCAGTAAAAGGCACATCACAGCCCGCTTGGAGTTTGCCAAAAGGCACCTAAAGGACTCTCAGATCATGAGAAACAAGATTCTCTGGTCTGATGAAACCAATATTGAACTCTTTGGCCTGAATGCCAAGCGTCACGTCTGGAGGAAACCAAGCACCGCTCATCACCTGTCCAATACCATTCCAAAGGTGAAGCATGGTGGCAGCAGCATCATGCTGTGGGGATGTTTTTCAGCAGCAGGGACTGGGAGACTAGTCAGGATCGAGGGAAAGATGAATGGAGCAAAGTACAGAGATCCTTGATGAAAACCTGCTCCAGAGCGCTCAGGACCTCAGACTGGGGTGAAGCTTCACCTTCCAACAGGACAACGACCCTAAGCACACAGCCAAGACAATGCAGCAGTGGCTTCGGGACAAGTCTCTGAATGTCCTTGAGTGTCCCAGCCAGAGCCCGGACTTGAATCCAATCTAACATCTCTGGAGAGACCTGAAAATAGCTGTGCAGCGACGCTCCCTATCCAACCTGACAGAGCTTTGGAGGATCTCATCAATATGCTTTTTAAAAGACAGCTTTTCATCTATCCAGATGCCCAGATATTTGTAAGCAGGGACATGATCAATATGGACACCATCCAAAGTACATATGCTTAAATCATCAGAGTTATTTTTAGGCACTATAGAGAACAAGATATAATGTACTTAGTTTTACCTGCATTCAATACTAATTCCAGGTCAATAAAGTTTTTCTGTAATACAATGAAGGCAGACTGTAGTTCAGATAGAGCCGGTCAACCGTGGAGGCAATAGCATACACAACAGTATCATCGGCATACAAGTGCAGGTTACAATTTTTTACAGACAAGTCGATATTTTTAATGTAAACAGTAAAAAGTACAGGACCATTTATAATATTATGTCTTTAGCTCAATGTAGTTAATCGAAAAGCTTAAATGTCACAGTCTAATCATGCATTACTGATAACACTTTGTGCTAGAACTTATCACGGTATTTAGAGTTGGAGTCCAATTCACTACAATGCCAGTAAATTCAGGAGAATTATGGAGCATGTTAAAATACACTCATCTTAACATTATTTATTTTTCTATTTCAATTCCAGGCTCTCTTCCTATGCTAAAATGCTCAAAATCTTTATAATGTGTTCTGTAGTTATTCTGATTACCCATAATCCTGTGGTGTACACTCACTTTGCTCACAGTGGCGTCCCATGAAGCCAGTCCGGCAGGTACACTGGCCAGAGATGTGGTCACAGTCGGCTCCATTCCTACACTGACAGGTCTGGGAACAGTCCTTACCGTAGAAGCCCAATCGACAGCCTGCAATGGATTCATATACAGTAAGACTCCAGCATTTGATAAAATTTGATTGAGTCCATTTTAAAATAGTTTAACAGCATGGGATGATGATGATGATGATGATGCATGTCCATATGCTTCAAATAAATGTGAGCGTGAGAGTGCGTGCATCCGTGCCTGTGTGTGGGTGCTTGTGTGTAACTTACGTTGTGTACAGTACAAGCCTGTCCAGCCCGGAGTACACTTGCACTCCCCATCATAGGCACTGCAGTAGGCCCCGTTGTGACAGTTACATGTGTGGATACAGTTGGGCCCCCACTGACCAGGAGGACAGACTGCAAGATAAGGACAACAACCACAGTATGAGAGAACATCACAACAATAGCCTCCTGGCGATAGCCTCAAATAGCATCCTGTCCAGGGGGTGTACTTGTACATCAAACTGCCTTGCGCTGCAGAAACAGGACATCTTGCCCTATGAGCCATTCTTTTAGCCTCAACATGTGTTTTACAAGTGTTCCTGAATACCTTGCCCAGGAAGAGAGGAGGAAAAGTGGTGAGAGGTGAATCGATTAATGGAAAAATTATTGCATTCAGTATGAAAAATATGACTGAATCATATGCTCTGTTCTAACTATAGTAAGCATAATCTCCTACTCATCACCCGTCCCCCAGCAAGCAATAGCCTGGGAACAAGGTTATAGTTTAAGCTGTTTACAGTACACACTGTACAGAAGGGAAATTGAAAGCAGCAATATTTCTCTATTAGTCTATATTTATTCAGTAACTCATCTAGAATTTGGGGAACCAGGTGTGCGAAATCTTTGGCTAACCAATGACAATTTTTGAGCCAGTGAGCAACAAAGCACCAGGAAGATAAAAGCAGCAGACAGTGGACCTTACCTAGTGAGCACAAGGCATTGAAAATATGTATTTTCAACGTCTTTTCAACCAAAAAGACGTCTCCTCAACCAAAAAGTATTTTCAACGTCTTGGAATTAATTATATTTCTATGGGATGAAAACCCATGTTGTATCATTAACTATCACCAGAGGGAGCCATATTACATTAATAATCCCCAGGCTGTCAGACACACTATTACACAAATAGTACCCTATTATAAACACAATTTTCTCTCCCTCAGAAGGTCTCCCAGGAATTCGTAATGGAAAGTCCATTAGGTAAGTTTATGCTGGCAAATGTTATCGAGCTACACGAGACGCCAGCGTCAATACTATTCGACATCCAGAATGTGAAGCACACAAAGCATGTTGCCCCACATCTGTGATGAGGAGGCCCAGGCGGGGTATCCCAGGGTCCTTTAAGGCTGTGATAAGTTAGGGGGTCCTGCAGAGGTCAATAAGGGTCACGAGAGGTCAAAAGGGGTCACGGAGGACTCCTCACTTGGCTGAGGGGCTAGCGTATGTCAGCGCCTTAGCTACTGGTGTCAAAGACAGGTAAATCTAGTGTGGGTCGCGTCCCGCTAAAAACACATTCATGGGTCAGGGGTCGTGGTGAGTAGCACCTGTCGTCCGTCTTAATGGACATTAGTGGTAAGTGTTAAACGTTTTTCCTATGATTACACTGGTTGGTTAAATATTTATTTTGCTAAATGGAATCATTCTCAATCAGAGCAGGGAAATAATGCTTTAAGAATGTCATTTAGCATGGACTATTATACAGATTCTAACAATAGGATATACATGTTCAACATATTCTGACATATTCTACCAATCCTAAGAAACAAACCAAATCCACAAAAGAAATGAGCAGTGGCCACAAGTTGGCAGTTCTGGTCAATTCTATTAACTCCCAATAGGGAAAAAATAAGAAATCGCTCCAAAATGGAATTTCAACTCATTTCCTGAATTGACTGAACTAAACAAGATTAACGGACCCCTCCAGGGATGCAGACAGACAGGGTCAGCCATAAGTGTTTTTTTTACAAGACATTACTGAGCTGAACTCAACCAAACAAAGCTTTAATGACCTGGCCTGGTTACACATCTACCATAATTGCTGGAATCGGCACGATATGTGAAAAGTGTATTTGGGAGTACTCACGTTGTGAACAGTCACTGCCAATCCAGCCGGGGTAACACTGGCATGAGCCATCGATGGGGTTACAGGTGCCGTTATTGGTACAGGTGCAGCTCCATGCACAGTTCTTCCCAAACCTGCCACTGGGGCACACTGGGGAAGAGAGGAAGAAAGAAATAGAGGGTAAAAACACAGAAGTGAGTCACCAACCTTTACGGTCCGGAGAGGAATCAATTAACTTTGTCAAAGGGTAGTGTGACTCTTGATGCTATGTTCTGTTCATGCGGTTGAGTGGTCAACTGTTGATTGAGTCATGTGGGGTAACGGTTGAGTGTCATACAGGGTAACTGTTAAGTGTCACACTCACCTTCATTACAGAGGGCCCCCTTGAACCCCGGGAGGCAGTCACACTGGCCAGAGACGTGGTGGCAGGGTCCATTGCTGTGGACACACTGGGGACAGGCCTGGCTGCAGCGGTGGCCAAAGTAGCCCGGTGAACAGACTGGAAGGACAGGAAAGATTAGTTAGGTTTCTAACTAAGAAACAAGTATAGACTTGAGATACGTACATATTCATACATTACATAGTGGATGGAATTAGTTAAACCACACAATGTATAAATCAGCTCTATACATAAATGTATAGTAAACCAATCGAATACAATCCATAAGCATAACACAGTAATTGGGCACGGGATCTTTAATGATATTGTAATGTAATAACTGAATGCATGAATGTGTGGGATACTCACTGCGCTGGCAGGTGATCCCCCGAAATCCGGGAGCACATTCACAGGTGCCCTCGTCAGGGGAACAGGAGGCCCCATTCTTACAGTTGCAAGGGAGGGAACAGTTTGGCCCCCAGCGGCCCTCGGCACACACACTGTCACAGTGGATACCTGGGAACACACACAACACATGGCTCACTCAAACAAGTTCACATAGGTATCCCATTGACATCAATTAATGATTGAAGAAGGCTTGGTGCTGTAAATCTGCTAATTACAGGAATTGATTTCCTGATTAATGCAGGGTTTAACACCAGATGGCAGCCTCTTAGGGAATAAGTCCACGGTCAATACCATCTTTCTGGCATCTTTCTGGCAAAGCTCCACAAACACTTTTACCAGGCTCTCCAATGGACTATCTTTCCATTTGTTTTACTGTAAATGCTATAAGTAAGAAGTGCTTTGATCTATTCCATTAATCAAATGTGGCTATTTGACTGGACTAGGGCACTGAGTTTTTCCTGACCAAGTGACCTGACCAGGAAAAACTTTTGGCAGCTGTTGTAGGCTATAATAAGGCCCAGTCCTGGTTAGGGACATATCAACATTTATGGGGGGAGGGGCTGGTCCAACTCAAGGTGTCAAAAAAACACCTCTCCCCAAAGTTACAAATATTTTCACATGACCCTCCCCTTGTAATGTAAAATAAATTTAACACCCTCCCCCCTCACAGAATTAACTCAAAATAATGTTTACGACCACAAATAACAATAACTGTAGTGACCCTGTGTTTATTAATGTGGATATCGACTTTGCCACTTCCACATGCTTTTGTGGCACAGTCGATGCCACGCAGGGCTACAGGCCAGAAGGTTGAGAGTTCACCGACCACCACAGACAAGCTAGGCTCACTCTTCCTGCCTGTTTCATTACACTACGATCAGAGCCGGCTGCAGACAATGATCAGCTAGGGGGAAATCACATTTTCTAAATTTTGATGCCATATTTATAATTATATAAAATATATGCAACAAATGTTCCACCAACAGGTTTCTGTGCCAATGCACCACACAACCAATAAACAAAGCATACCGACTTCGGGCACTTCAATATCATGGTTTGCGTTTTCAACAACACAATAAATAGAGTATGTCAATCTTGAAAAACACTTGCCAGAGTCTTTAGTGTGTTTATAGCTAGGTTTCCATCCAATTGGCAGCAGATTTTCATGTGAATATTCTAAAATGTTCATAAAAACGATATGCCATTTCAGAGTTTCATTTAGGAAAAGTTGGCACCGCACAACATGACAGGGAAGATTTTAATTTACCGGACATTTGAGAAATGTAATAGATCAATAAACAAGGGATGTTGGCAAAATGAGCCACATTTATGTGTCCTTAAAAACAGCCTATAACAAATGTCAAAAACACTATTCCTTGTGTTTCGACGTGTAGCCTATGCAAAACTTTATGGTGGGTTTAGGCTAATTTCCTAAAACAATAATTGTCCGCATCACGGTTCAGCTGTCAGAGATTTGAACCCTAAATGTATCATGCAAAGGCCTATAGGCTTAGGTGTCTACTGTATGATATTCATATTTTAATAAATATATAGATAGCCTATATAAAGGAAGAGAAGCTTAGGCCAAACCCCAGAGAGAGAGATATGCCGGTGGCATGCTACGACACCGACATGCATTTCTTTATGTCAGATGGCTACTGGGTCTGCTATACAGATATAGACGTACATAAGGAGGGTAATTTATTAATTTCCGATCTGAATATTTTGTAGAAAGATATGCATTATATTGTTAGATTATAGGAGTAACTCTGGTAGGCCTGAAACAATCTTCCTCACATCAAGTTCAACTGTCGGAGTCAGTTGGAGAGCAGGGGCGCACTGCCTTCATATCATAGGCCTGCAGTAACTAAAGCTTAATAATAGCCACAGCATACCAAACCTTCACAAACGTTTCTAAACTATTAGGGTAATATCAAAAGTAAGTCAAGCCATTGTTTATAGGGAAAATACAAGCAGAAGAGTGAATGTAAACCAGGGAAAAAACACACTACCCTCCCCTGTGACCCAAAAAACCCACACAACCCTTCCCAAAGCAAAATAAAAGTTTGACAACCCTCCCCTATTTTCGAACACCCTTCCCCACAGTAAAAATCGGTCCCTTAGGACCATTGTTTTTCAGTAAACAGAAAAAAGGTTTGCAAACCAGAAGTGAAGTTATATGATAGGTGCGTATTCTAAGCAAAAACTGAAGAAGAATGGTTGAAGGGTCTCCCGCACACTGTGTGTACTTGTCACGGAATCAGCCGAGGCTGCCCCTCCTCCTTGCTCGGGCAGGCTTCGGCGTTCGTCGTCCCCGGAGTACTAGCTGCCACCGATCTATGTTTCGGTGTTTGTCTAGATTGTCCTGATTGTTTTCACCTGTTTCCCATTATGTTATATTGTATTCCCTTTATAACCCCCTGTCTCTCATTGGTTATTGTGTGTTGTCACGGTCGTCTATGTCGTCTAAGTATGACCAAGGCGCAGCGTGTCCAAGAAACATGACTTTATTATATCAAAGTCTGGAACAAAACAACAAAACAAGAACGATTCGTGAAGTCCTCTGCAACACTGACAGAACTTGGAACAAAAACCCACAACACCCAAAGGAAAACATACAGATAAATATGGCTCCCAATCAGAGATAACGAGCCGACAGCTGACACTCGTTACCTCCGATTGGGAGTCATTGACCAAACCTAGAAATGCAAACATAGAAATACACCCAAATACCCAACATAACCAAACCAAAACCCAACAAAACAAAATACACCCTGGCTCAAATACAAACGTCCCGGAGCCAGAGTGTCACAGTACCCCCCCCTAAAGGTGCGAACTCCGGGCGCACCAGCATACAGTCTAGGGGAGGGTCTGGGTGGGCGTCTGTCCACGGTGGCGGTTCTGGCCCTGGTCGTGGTCCCCACCCCACCTTAGTCACTATCCGCTTCCGTAGCCTCCTCCACATGACCACCCCCCAACTAAACCCCACTGGATTAAGGGGCGGCACCGGACTAAAGGGCAGCACCGGACTAAGGGGCAGCACCGGACTAAGGGGCAGTACCGGACTAAGGGGCAGCACCAGGATAAGGGGCAGCACCGGGCTAAGGGACAGCACCGGACTCAATGGCGGATCCTGGCTGGCTGGCTCTGGCGGGTCCTGGCTGGACGGCTCTGGCGGATCCTGGCTGGACGGCTCATGGCTGGCTGAAGGATCTGGCTGCTCATGGCTGGCTGACGGATCTGGCTGCTCATGGCTGGCTGACGGATCTGGCTGCTCATGGCTGGCCGACGGATCTGGCTGCTCATGGCTGGCTGACGGATCTGGCTGCTCATGGCTGGCCGACGGATCTGGCTGCTCATGGCTGGCCGACGGATCTGGCTGCTCATGGCTGGCTGAAGGATCTGGCTGCTCATGGCTGGCTGACGGATCTGGCTGCTCATGGCCGGCTGACGGATCTGGCTGCTCATGGCTGGCCGACGGATCTGGCTGCTCATGGCTGGCCGACGGATCTGGCTGCTCATGGCTGGCTGACGGATCTGGCTGCTCATGGCCGGCTGACGGATCTGGCTGCTCATGGCTGGCGGAGGGCTCTGACTGATCCTGTCTGGCGGAAGGCTCTGGCTGATCCTGTCTGGCGGAAGGCTCTAGCGGCTCCGGTCTGGCGGACGGCTCTGAAGGCTCATGGCAGACGGGCGGCTTTGCAGGCTCAGTCCAGACGGCCAGTTCAAGCGCCTTTGGGCAGACGGGCAGTTCAGGCCCCGTTGGGCAGACGGCAGACTCTGGCCGTCTGAGGCGCACCGTAGGCCTGGTGCGTGGTGCCGGAACTGGAGGTACCGGGCTGAGGACACGCATCTCAGGGCTAGTGCGGGGAGAAGCAACAGGGCATGCTGGACCCTGGGAACGCACATAAAGCCTAGTGCGGGGATAAGGAACAGGGCATGCTGGACCCTGGGGACGCACATAAGGCCTAGTGCGGGGAGAAGGAACAGGGCATGCTGGACCCTGGGGACGCACATAAGGCCTAGTGCGGAGAGCAGCAACAGGACGCACAGGACTCGGGGAACACACAGGAGGCTTGGTGCGTGGTGTAGGCACTGGTGGTACTGAGCTGGAGCGGGGAGGTGGCGCCGGAAATACCGGACCGTGCAGGCTTACTGGCCCCCTTGAGCACTGAGCCTGCCCAACCTTACCCGGGTTGATGCTCCCCGTCGCCCGACCAGTACGGGGAGGTGGAATAACCCGCACCGGCCTATGTGGGCGAACCGGGAACACCATGCGTAAGGCTGGTGCCATGTACGCCGGCCCGAGAAGACGCACTGGTAGCCGGATGCGTTGGGCCGGCTTCATGACATCTGGCTCAACGCTCACTCTAACCCGGCCGATACGTGGAGCTGGAATGTACCGAACCGGGCTATGCCTGCGTACAGGAGACACCATGCGCTCTACTGCGTAACACGGTGTCTGCCCGTACTCTCGCTCTCCACGGTAAGTCCAGGGAGTAGGCGCAGGTCTCCTACCTGACTTCGCCACACTCCCTTTAAGCCCCCCCCCCAAGAAATTTTTGGGTAGTACCCACGGGCTTCCAGCCTTGACTCCGTGCTGCCTCCTCATACCGCCTCCTCTCGGCTTTAGCTGCCTCCAGCTCTTCACGAGGGCGGCGATATTCTTCCGGTTGTGCCCAAGGACCCTTTCCAGCCAGTATCTCCTCCCATGTCCATGAATCCTTAGGAGCAGGGTCCTGTTGCCGCTTGACACGCTGCTTGGTCCTATGATGGTGGGTTTTTCTGTCACGGTCGTCTATGTCGTCTAAGTATGACCAAGGCGCAGCGTGTCCAAGAAACATGACTTTATTATATCAAAGTCTGGAACAAAACAACAAAACAAGAACGATTCGTGAAGTCCTCTGCAACACTGACAGAACTTGGAACAAAAACCCACAACACCCAAAGGAAAACATACAGATAAATATGGCTCCCAATCAGAGATAACGAGCCGACAGCTGACACTCGTTACCTCCGATTGGGAGTCATTGACCAAACCTAGAAATGCAAACATAGAAATACACCCAAATACCCAACATAACCAAACCAAAACCCAACAAAACAAAATACACCCTGGCTCAAATACAAACGTCCCGGAGCCAGAGTGTCACATGTGTGATTGTTTTCCGTCAGGTCGGCAGTGCTGGTTGTATGCGTTTATTGTTCCTCCCTGTTTGGAGTTTTGTTTTGTACTTTCTTTACTGTGTTGAGTAAAGTACGTTCTGCCAGTAGTTCGGTGTCCTGCGCTTGACTTAGTTTCCCG